TTAAGATCAATGTGAAAAAATAAGCTATTATTGGTAGTATGCAGGTAACCTACCTCCTTTTTTCATGTGTATGGACTTACTGCTAGGGAGGTTGGTAGACAAAAATGGTCTAATCTAACAGTTGTCAGTTTTTTCTGTCAGTCTATTCCTTTTCTGTCTTGACAGATGGAACATAGAAACCGTGTAACAAACCCCGAGCATGTGCTGTAATAACAGGATGGCTGTGTGTGCCTCCTTGAGACTGTTTTTGTGGCATCCTGTTCTAAATAGACTAGCATTTAGCATGGAGCACACAGCAGCTTTTGCATCTTCTGAGACTGTCAGTCTCTTTGAGTTTAAATGGTTAAACTTGGGAGCCTTGCTGTCACTGTCTTAATTCTCCCAAACACTGTAGTGCTTTTAGTTGTGAATTTAACAAGGAAATATGTTACTCGGTTTCTTATTAATTGTTCCAGCTTTTAAAAAGAAATTCTACTGATAAAAATATGCTAAGAAAAACAAGGCAGTTTTTTTTTGAAGAATGCACTGCCTGCCAGGAAATCAGGTGTTGTTTGTATTTGCTCTATAATAACAAAGTCGCATGCACATATATACAAAATGTAATGTTTGATTCTGAACATTCAACAGTAGTCACTAGAGAGGTATAAATAGTGAGTTTCCCTTTAGATATTAATTTCTGTTAGGATTTAATGAGACTGAAAGAATTTGTGTTCTTTGAGAAAATGTGGGAAGAGAGAGAATTACAGAATAAACGTATAAACACTCTAACTATACTTTGGAATTAGTAATCAAAAGGCTAAAGTAGGCAGAATAATAATAATAATATTAATAATAGTACAGCTATAAGGATTCTAAGACTAAAATAAAATGCATCTTATTGTAAAATGGATTTTCTTATCAGCATTAATCTCTGCATATGAAATTGGTTGTTTAGTCACTTTAAAAACTCAATTCTTTATGTTAGATATATCAGATATGATACAATTTCTTTCTTTTCTTGGAAAACAAAACAGCACAAATCCCTCAGTGATAGGCTGGTTCTCATGGGGACTGGACAGCCATTTTTAAAGAATTCTGTTTCTATTTTAAACTATAATCTGGAGTCTATATGTATCAGTTAAATTTTTATGATTACAGCTTTCCTTTTTACTGTTGTACCCTTTATATTGTCACGTGCAGTATTTATTATATTGTGGAAGCATGCACAAACATTGAAGTTTATTGGCTAGTGAACAGGCTATGGTGCTGTGTGGGCAGCATTGGATAGACATTCAGTTTGTTAACTATAGTTAATATCCACTGTTGTGACTATTGCTATAAATATTCATAATATCTCATTTAAAATAATGTCTTCTTTCTGTTGGTGGACAGGTACATTGTTCCCAGTAATATTCGCATTAGGCAGTCTTGCTCCCATCTATTCTGTTTGGTGCCTGTGGTTTGCTTGGTTTCATAACTCAAGTATATGGACAAAAGATGAAATTTAGAGTTTCCATGTTAGCAGACTAGAAGTAGAGAACTTCCTTTATCAGAAGAAAGTTTTCCAAAACTCAGGGAAACAGTCCTTACAACTTCGCATAGTATGCTGATGAAATGCTGACTTCTTTTTCTGTGGTGAAGGGTTAGACCTGCAAGCTCTGTGATGCACAGTTAGAGCTGCAGGCTCAGTAATAGACAGTTGGACCTGGAGACTCTGTGATGGACAGTTAGACCTGGAGACTATGATGGACAGTTGGACCTGGAGACTCAGTGATGGACAGTTAGGCCTGGAGACTCTGTGATAGACAGTTGGACCTGGAGACTCAGTGATAGACGGTTGGATCTGGAGACTCTGTGATAGACAGTTGGACCTGGAGACTCAGTGATAGACAGTTGGACCTGGAGACTCTGTGATAGACAGTTGAATCTGGAGACTATGATAGACAGTTGGATCTGGAGACTCAGTGATAGACAGTTAGGCCTGGAGACTCTGTGATGGACAGTTGGACCTGGAGACTCAGTGATAGACGGTTGGATCTGGAGACTCTGTGATAGACAGTTAGGCCTGGAGACTCAGTGATAGACAGTTAGGCCTGGAGACTCTGTGATGGACAGTTGGATCTGGAGACTCTGTGATGGACAGTTAGACCTGGAGACTCTGTGATGGACAGTTAGGCCTGGAGACTGTGATGGAGGAGACTCTACAGAATCATTTTTATTTCTATTCCAAAGCTTGTTTTCAGTAATTTAAATTAGCAACATCATGCCACTAAGAAAAGATTATAAACCCCAAGAAGTTCTTGAGGACAAGTATAATTCCTGGGTACTTGACTAATATATGGCAATTGTACCTTCATTCTATTTAACAGGTTAATTATGAATGGTATGCTGTGGCTGTTATTGTGCTAAGGGTAGCAGAACAAAATATCACAGACTGTGCAGCTTAGAAGAAATTTGTCCCTCCCAATAATGATGGTTGCAAGTCCAATGTTATGGTTCCAGAAGATCTGACTCTTCCTTGTTTCTTTGACTTATAGATGCCCACCATCCCACTGTGCCCTCAGTGGTCTTTCCTCTGTGTAGACAAGTCCTGGACCCTCTTTCTGTACCCACACGTCCTCCCTTTTGAGGGCATCAGTCATACTGGAGAGTGGGAGGAGTGCCCACTTCATTGTCTCATTTTAATTTAGCCACAGCTTCAGAAGCTCCACCTCCAAATATATTCAGATTCAGAGGTACTCATGTGTTGAGGTGTTGGGTTAGGACCTCGACATGTGGATTTTGGTGTCATATTCACCCAGTAACCCTGATAATAAAGATTCTGAGTACAAATGGGTTCTTTTGGGACTTAAAAGAAAGAAGCAAAAGACACAACTAAAGTGCAGACTTAGATTGTAGATTGATACAAGTAATGCATGTGTGAACTTGGAATTGTTTTCTGGATATATAAAAGCGAAAAGTAGTTTTTATGTTAATTTATACTACAGGCAATTTGAATATATAACTAAGTGCACAACGTAATTTTTAAAATAAATATTTTAGTCTTATCACCATCCATGACATTTGTAAATTACAGTTAGTAAAAAAATAATCCTTGATATTTTTTCATAGGAAGCAGACAGGATAGATTTTATTTGATCAAAAGTAGTCACTTCGCCAGGCGATGGTGGCCCATGCCTTTAATCCCAGCACTCAGGAGGCAGAGGCAGAGAGATCTCTGTGAGTTTGAGACCAGCCTGGTCTACAAGAGCCAGTTCCAGGACAGCCTCCAAAGCCACAGAAAAACACTGTCTCGAAAAACCAAAAAATAAATAATTACATAAATGAAGTAGTCACTTCAGCATAGTAATTTCTGTGTACACATGTCTAAAACCACTTATCAGAAATAAAGACACAGCACCCAACTGTCAGACTCTGGTCAGGAAGTGCATGTGCCCAGGTCTTGGAGTGTGAACTTGGATTATGGGAGTGAATGCCGGAAGGATGTCAGGGTGTAAGCCCTGTGAAGTTGGAAGGAGAGCTTCATTGACTTGTGGGTGGGTGTGGCTCACCTGAAAAGCTCCAGGAGATGTTTGGGGAGTGAATGCATTTTGAGTGTTCCTCATGGCTTGGATCAGTAGGGCGGAGTTTTCTGTGTTCATCTGGGGTCTCCTGCAGATGAGATGAACAAGAAACACACAGTAGCGCTCAAATTGCTGCTTCATGTGCAAAGCACATCACTTCTCACTTTTACTTTTGTAAGTATTCAAAATTAGACTTTGTAAAAATGAAATGTTGGGTGGTAGTCAGTATTTGACTGCTACATAACAGTCCAGTGGCTAATGAATAAGAGTTGAAGGTAGAGAACCAGATGTTCTCTGAGCCTAATGCTCAGTCAGTGTGGTCCACAGAAAGGCACCAGTCCTTTGTTTCAAGCAAACAGTTGCTTCAGTGGCCACCTAATATGTCATTTTCTGTTACTTTAGTTTTTAGAAATTGGACTCAGTGCTATCCATCTTGGCCTTGGCTGCTGGTCCTCCTGCCTTTGTTTCCTAAGCTTTGGGATGCTTGCACCCACCACTCCTGGCCTTACTTTTGGGATTGCCATAACACTGTTACTCCTTAACCTAAGTTAGGAAAAGCCCATAAGCACCAGTGGTTGTATTGGGGCATTCTTCCAGTCCACCTGTTGCATCTAAGATCTGGCTGCTTTACTTCTAAGTTTAGTGCAACAGTTTCCTGGAGAATCCTAATTCTTCCCTCTGGTGTGTTCAGGAGCCATGATGCCAAGTGAAGTGGTTTTTGTTTTTGTTTTTGTTTTGTTTTGTTTCTGCCTTAGAACACAGTTCACTTGAGGCATCTTCAGTTCCATTCCCTAGAAGTGACCAAATGGCCTTTGCCTTGTCACAGTTCCCTTTGCCCACCATGTTCCTTCCATCTCTGCAGGACTCTGTGCCTGCATCTGCAGTAGTACATCATGGCACATTTGGGAGTTCAGTGAGTATAGTTCCTGAGTACGTAGAGCACATTATTATTATTTATCACATGTGTCACAGGGCTGACTAAATGGAAGAATGAATGGAGTGTGCTTGAAAAGGCTGCCCCTGTGTCCTGTTAGCTAAATTAGATAATTATTAGTTATTTGGGTCACTTGATTTTTAGTATTATAAATTATGCCTGTACATTCCAAAATTTTAGCAGTGTAATACAGACTTTCCTTTGTGGACCAAACATCCCATACCTTCTTGGATTTTTGCTTTTTGCCACAAACAGTGCTTTAAAAAAAGTAAGTTGCAGTTCTGGTATTGAGAGAGATTGTTATTTTGAGATACAATACAGTAGTGAAAAACTGTAATTTTTAACTTCCTGTATAAGTTCTGAAGTTATTTGTGAAAGTTTCTAACATTGTGTGGTGATGTGTGGATCAAAAGGAGGAGGTGGGTTCTCTAAAGCAGTGAGGGATACTTGTGCATGACATATTGGCTATGATTTCAACAGTACAATTCTACACGCCATTTTTAAGACTTCCTTTCTCTCTGTAGGACCTCTTTGTTGTTCGGCATGAGCTGGCTATCATGAGACTAGCTGCCTTTATGGGCATTACTATGTTAGTTGGAATAACTGGACTCTTTTACACACAACTCATTGGCATCATCACAGTAAGTATATTTTTAATGTAAGCTAGTATGTATGAACAGATGATATAATTGTGGACTTAATTCTAAAAAGTTATATGAAGTTTGCAAGTTAAAGAAGAATATTACAATTGTTAATTAAGTATAAAGTATACATAAAATTTTGCATCCCTCTTAAAAATGAGCAGAGTATTTTTATATAGCAGCAGTGTTTATAGTCTTAATAATGACATATATTTTTCTACTATTAGCATATAGTGCAAAGTTATTTTTTCTAATCTTGCTTTTATAATACACTAATCATTTTGTTTTCCTTTAAATTACTTTAGATCAGTTCCCAAAGATAGACTTGCTAAGACAAACAGTTTGCTAGTAATTAAACCATTTCTTGGGTATCCTAATTGATTTGTTGATGTGCAAACTAACTTAATAAGTCATTATTACTGTTTAGAATGTCTGAAAGACTGACAGCTCCTCCTTTTCTTTTTGATATGGAAAAGTCATAGAGGAATGTTAAGGCTGCTTTGACATTTCTTTATCACAACAAAACAGATTTAAAAACAGAAAAATCATGAAGACTGAAAAAAGAATGCTCTGTTGGAGAGAATGTAGGTCAAGTAGGCTTTCTTAAACATTGAATGGAGTATAATTTGACTGAACCTCATTGGAAGGTGAATTGTCAATGCCTATCTAAATTTAAAATGTCCATTCCTTTTGACCAACCTTGTATGTATTTGAATGTAAACATGCTCAAAGGGCTGCACTATTGTATTGTGTTCAACATCTGTATTGCATATGATCATTAAGTGCTTATAGCATGTAATCAATAAAGGAAAGAAAGAAAACCTCAAAGCCTACCAGTAAGCAACAGTATTCAAGATTGCGGTACTGGCCTGAGGATGGACATATATGTGCATGAACTAGAACTGAGAGCTATACAGTCCCTTGCTGTCTGTAGAGAATTGTTTTTAGGATGCCCTGTGGATGCCAGAATGTACAGTGGCTGCTAAAATCCCTTATTACAATAGCATATAGTATTTGCACATGCATCTCCCTGTATACTTTAAATCCTTTCTAGATCCTTTATTATGCCTAGCACAGTATCAGTGCTATGTAAATTCTTGCTATACTGTACAAGTTGTTTAGGGTAGGATGGATAGAAAAGTCTGTGCATGTTCAGTGTGGGTACAATTTTCTTCCTAGTATTTTTAGCCCATGGTTGGTTATATCCACAGATACAGATACTAATCACGCTCTGGAAGTGAAATACTGGGTCACATGAAGCCCCCCTCCCAAGTCTCTGTCTCTCTGTCTGTCTCTGTCTCTGTCTGTCATCTCTCTCTCTCTCTCTCTCTCTCTTTCTCTCTCTGCTGTTTGGCCTTTTATCAAGTGAGGCACAGTCCGTCAACAATGTATGAGAATTAATTTCAGTTGCTCCATATCATTGCTATCTCTTGATGACAGTCTTGGTAATTGTAGCTATTTTGGTGGTTTATAATAGTCCTTTTTCTATTTGCATTTCTCTGATGATGGATGTTGAACACTTTATATGCATTTTTTTTATTTCAGCAGTCACTTTATATGCTTATTGGGGTTCCATGGAACTTTGTGGCATGTCTGTTTTAATCTTTTTTATTTTTTATCTTTTACCATTGAGTGTAAATATTTCTAATACCCCTTGGTAGTGATAATAATAAGTGACATGACTATGGGTAATAGTGCTGAGGATAAGGATTGTTTCCCCTAAAATTCTGCTCTCTACAGTTAAGCCCATTAATAAGTACTTGATAATGATGAACTTCTAATTCACAAGACATGCCAAAATCAGTAAATTATGTACATTGCTCAATTTCCAACTTTGAATTTGCCAGAATTTCTAATGGATATTTAAATCCCTCAAACAGAAGTTTTCAGATTCCCCTGTACTTACTGTTAATAGTTAGGAGGGAATATGTGGAAACATTCATCTAAAAGTGCATGTCACTCCCAAGGCCTGGCAGGGGCTAGTGGCTGAGTAATCTCCTTCCCCCTGCAAGGCCCCATTAACTTCCAAGACTTTGTACTTTGTACTTTGATGGCAACTATTGCAAACTCTTTCAAGGGTCTCTACTATAAAGTTGAGCACTCTGGGTTGAACATAATAATAAGTAAGCTACTTGTTACTTGTTTTAGCCTGATATTATCACAATGCGGCATGTTATTTTCAGATTGTGTGCATTTTAAAAATATTGAATAGCAGTTCATTGTATTAAGCAGGGAAACTGAGTTCTGATAGGTTATTTCTAAACTGAATAGAAATCACACAAAATAGAACAACTGTGAGACATTCAGAAAAAGACGCAAGTGCTGAGGGAATATATTTTGTCAGTCTGATACTTAGCCACTGTACATGTTCTCAAATACAAATGCCCATAATGGAAATTGTTCTAAATTGAGTTGAGGTGATAGGCTCATTCAATAGCACACGTGTGCCGACCTGAGTTTGATTCTTAGAACTACAAATCAAAGCCAGCTGTAGCAGCAAGCCCTTGTGTTGGAGGAGAGGAGAGGTGGAGTCTTGGATTCATTGGTCAGCCAGTGTAGCTGAATCAGAGAGCTCCAGATTCAGTGAGAGCCTCTACCTCAAAAACAAAGTGGAGTATGACTACGAAAGATACCTGGTATCCATCTCTGACCATTACACGATGTGCACACATGCACACACCCACACAAACACCACACAGAGAAAATAAAGGAAGTGACAGTAAATTTGAAGTCTGTTTCCCTGGGTTGTCACGGTGAATGTCAAGCACTGTTCTTTTGAGATGAAATGAGTAATTATTTCAGAATGTACTCCTCTCCTTGATTCAGAGAGATGCAATTGTTTACAGTCAGCATGTCTTTGTGTGTGACTTAAATCTAAAAAGGGAATTACTAGCATCTGTACAAAATAGCATTGAACACATTGAAGTTAAAAATACAGACCATGCTTGCCTTCTTGATAAATACTTGTTCTGTTCCAGTTTTTATTAAACTAAGCTTGCCTGTAGGCTTCATCTCTGGATGCCTTTTCGTCAGATCAGGATGCACACATCTCTACTGTGTGTGGTGAATTTGAGGATAGCATTCAAGCAATGGAGAAGTAACAGTGGATTGAGTCATTCCACAGACGTCATCTTCCTTTTTCCTACCCTTGTGTCCCCCACGTCCAAAAGATTCTTTGGAAAAAAAAGGATATCACTTCCTATGGAGAATTGGAGTTTCATACCTTGAATGTAGATCTGCTAAGCAATAAATGGGCAAAACAAACGTCAGCTTGTACTTTTAGCTCAGGTTTTAGAGAAGCAGGGTTCCAATTTTTAGTAATTATTTCCCCATTGTTTCCTTTAACCTGGAATTAATAATCCCCCCCCCCCCCCCGGTAATTTTATTTCTAAAACTAAAGGATTTTAACACAATCAGGTATTTCTAGTAAACTGACTAATCTGAAGTAGAATTTCAAGGTTTTACTTACTTTCAGATTTGATTTAAATGAGACTTTAAATGTATGTATTGTGTGGTCTAACTGAATTGGAAGTCATGTTTACAGAAGCAAGTGGCTTTGGTGCAGTTTCCTTTATTTAGGAAACAAGTTATTGTAGTGGCCCTCGCTGAGACTTAGCTCTTTTGCTTTTGTATCTGAATGAAGTAGACAGTGATGTTGTTATTAATGTAATTGACATCAGAATTAAGGAGCAAAAGTCCCAGGCAGCAAGAGGGAAGTCCATTCTGGTGAGCCTCAGTGCTGACAGTGCAGGGTAGTCAGACTGGTCCAGTTTCTAGAAGCCTAACAGCTGGCCAGTATCCCTGAGGAGGTTCTAACAGGAAGTTGTTTTCTACTGTGACACTCCTTTGATAGTTTGTCTGAACTCTGTGTACAAGCATTTCTGTTTCCTGGGTACAGGGGTTTGTATGCTAGTGTGAGCTTCTGATGTTGTCTTTGGAGCCTGGTGCATTTGTTGTGTTTCTGTGTGGTGAGGTTAGGGATAGGGTGAGGGAGATGTATTGAGTTGCAGCTTTGTGAAAGCTAAGTGATTGTTGTTTTGGTCTCACAGATGCTATTGGATTCTAGTTAAATACAAAAGATAATTTTTTAAAATCATTACAGAGAAAATATTTTTCCTTATACCTACTGATCCATGTTTGATTTGCATTCAGCATTTGCCTAAATATAGAGTTTTTAGTATGTCGGTGACTCTGGTGTTTGAAGTAAAATGGCCTCTATAGGCTCAGATATTTGAATAATTAGTCACCAGAGAGTGGAACTCTTTGACAGGATTAGAAGGATTAGGAGGTGTGGCCTTGTTGGAGGAAGTGTGTCACTGGGGGTGGGCTTTGAGCGGTCAGAAGCCCATGCCAGGCCCAGGCAGTCTGTTTTTGTCTGTCTCTCTTTGGATCGGCATATAGAACTCTTAGCTACTTCAGCACCATGAATGCTGTGTGCTGCTGTGCTCTCCAACATGCTCCTCTACGAATGTAAGCAAGCTCCAGTTAAGTGCTTCTTTTTTTTAAGAGTTGCCTTGGTCATGGTGTCTCTACTAAGATGGTGACTTAATTTTAACTGGGGTTAATCTTCTGTAATGAAAAGTATCTCATGTTCAAAATGTTAAATCAGATTAAAGGAGATTAGCTATTAAGGAGCATTTTATTAATCAGTTAATGGATTTTCTTGCTTTTTAATATGTATCCAGAAATGTAGGCTTGGAATTGTCACTCTTTATAATTGAGTTTTGTCAAATATCAGTGAATTGAGTTAGTGCAATCTGTGTGCAAGTCATGCTTAGCAATCCTAGCTAGCAGGCAGCATCGCACATGTGCAGATTGTTGTAGCTCACATCTTTCTTTAAAGAGAAATTGCTGGCATTTTTTGCCTTCCTTTTTAAATTATACATATATTTGAAAATGTATTTCTAATACAGCTTTTCTAGTTGTAAAATTATAGGACATATCTCCTCAATGTCTTCTTAAAACCCTAAAAATATTGCCAAAATGTATTATATTTCTTAGAAGCTCTTCATGCTCTATGCTAATACTGGGTGTATTTCTTTGTATGTAGACATAATAAAGAATTTTATAGAGACTAGTTTCTCCTTTTTTGTAGTAATCAACATTACGTGTGGAGTTGAATGACTTGTGTAAGTGTATTCCTGAGCAGAAGTGTTTCTGTACCTCACTTCTGTTTGCTCAGTGTGATATACTGCTTGAAACATTCAAATAAATCGGAAAACTGAAAAAATTTAAATGTGTTTTGATAATGCTTGTAGGATAGTTAGCACATAGACTTCTTAAAGGGTCACCACTGAATGTAGAGATGCTTTATGTTGCTGTGTTGCGAAACATTTTGTGTTGCTGTTCCTGGGCATTTTCTCTAGAAGTTGATTTTTATCAGCTCATGATCTGAATTCATGTGCACCATTAGGTTAGAAGCGTGGCTCATCCATGTATTAACTTTCAGTCTTTGCCAAAGGGAGCCAAGTGTCTCTCGCCCATAGTCTATTGGTTCAGTGGTGATCTCCCAAACCCTAGTTCCTGTGTCTGCTATTGATAACCAGAAACTTCATCAGAAGTATAATTTGATGTTAAAATGTCCAAGTAGTTCTTTCAGCTATTTTGGTGACTGGGAAGTTACTGATAAAACACCTTTTGCTCAGTCGCCCTCTGTGACCTGTGTGTGCCTGTGTGGTTACAGTCAGCCTCTGTGACCTGTGTGTGCCTGGGTGGGTTTTGTGTATGTGTGGACACCTATGGTGACCATCAGCTTTCTTTATTAAAGACCTTGCTTGCCTTGTAGCTGTGGTTACTCTATATAAATAGATGAGTAAATGAACAACAGAGTATACTTTGGAGTTTTGACTTTATGAATGATGTTAAACCCCTTTCAATTGTAGGATTACATATATAGTCTCTGTCATTCAGTCTTTCATTGTAAACTCTTGTAAACATAATTTCAGTAACTGATATAATTGAGATACTGTTTTTTTAAGCATGAGGAAGTGCTTAATACACACAATAAAATGAGGATTTTTCAGTCATTGAGGATTCATTAGGAATTTTAATGCATGTTGATCCATTTAAACCTCATAAAAACTTAGGAAGTAAGCATTCCTACTTGGAAACTGAGGTATGGAGTTTTAATTTCTTACCAATTGGAGTAGTCAAATGATGGCTTGATGAAGAAAAGCAGAGAAATTATTTTAGAAAGAGATTTCAGTGGCTACAGATGTAAAAATTTTCTGCCTCTGCACTGTTGTCCTATTACTGATGAAATGTTTGTGTAAACTTCACATTTCTAATAAAATTCACAGGCGTCCTCTGTAAGCGATGAAGGCTGAGGTATTAACTGCTTGTTTCCAGTCAGTGAACTGGTGAGGCCTGGAGGGCAGAGAGAAAGAAGGTTAGCAGGGCTTCCCTGCTTTCCCACTGGAAAAATAAAAATAAAGAATCTGTTATTTCTGGTTTGCCCAGTTAGTTCAGTCCTGCAAACATATACCATAGATGCCCATTTTGTACAGCCTTGGCCCACTAGGTGCTTTTGACTTCAAAGTCAAGTGGGGATTAGAAAGATGGCTCAGAGAAGGGTGTTGAGATCCCAGATTTGGTCAGAGCACCTCCATTGGGTGGCCCTGGGGGATCAGACACTCTCTTCTGGCCTCCATGAGTAGCTTTGTTCATGTGTGTAGCTCCCCCAACCCCAACATACACACACAACACATGATTGAAAACAAAATCATAAAACATTAAACATGCTGCTATTTGTATACTAGTAGGCAGTCTAGTGAAGCTCTTAAAATTAGGCAAACTCAGAGCCAGAGCAGGTGTATGATCTTGAACTACAGAAACCTTTCCTGAAAAGTGTTTCCAAGGCTACGTTAAGTCAACATAGAGTCATAAGTTATGTGCAGCATAGAAGCTTAATGACCAACGAGACCTACAATGAGAACAGAGTTCAGGTGATTGTGGAGGCTATATGGAGCGGTCTTCAGAGGTCCCTCTCTGATGGTCCCCTTTAGTTTCATTATATCTTAAGTGTTTGGTATGCTAAGAAACTCCTTTTGGAAACTGTTTCCAGAGTTACATAGGCCCAAAGACAAGGACTCTTCTATACTCTGAAGATAGCTATTGGAACCAGACAGACTGTTTATCCTTTATGTGTTGTTCAGTATGTCTATGGACTTTCTCCCATGAGGTCTTTTCCCCACAGGACAGCATATGCACCCACGTGGTGGTGCTTGGTGACAGTGCACTCACAGAAGAGTGGCTGTCAGCCCTCTGTGGTCAGGGGCTGGCTTCGCAGCCCTGTTAGCCTGTTAGCCAAGAAACCTATGGTGATACATTCTTGCTTTTCATACAACACTCCATCCCAGTTTTCCAGTAAATCCATCTCTCCCATCCCAGCATAATCTAGTCAGTAAGCCAGGATGCAGTTTTCTCTTACAGTCAAACATACTTTTACACTGAATCCGAAAGACCCCTTCTTATGCCAAGATTAGCCATTAGGAAAAGGCAAAGTATTGACAGAGAAAATAGGGAAGGTAATATCTGTCTCTGAAAATCTTGCTGAGTTTACTTTTTTTAAAATGCAAAACTCCAGTTTTTAAAACACAAGGCATTCTCTTGTATTGCTTAGTTGTACAGGCTGGTTGAAGTGTTAGATATTTTGATCATTAGATCATTCCAGGCATAAATATTTCTCACAACTAATTGTAGCAACACCCAGTAAATGTGTGATTTTCATATTCCTGAAAGAATGGTTAATTTGCTAGCTAGCTGAGGCTGTATGTTGTATTATATTCCTTCTGTAGCATTTGTCTTGATGGCCCTTCCCTAGTGCCAATAAGAAGATGGAGTATTTACAGTATGCTTTAAAAAAATGCCACATTTGTCCACATTGTAAAACAAAACAAAGTAGGCTTTCCTTAGCAGCTGTGTGAGGGATTACTGTGCTCTGGTGCTCAGGTACTGACTTGGGCTGGTTTTGTATAAACGGTATTCTGGATGCGGAGATAGAGAGAGGTGAGTGAGCATTTGCCATTCTAGAGAAAACAGTGACTTAATTTGGGCAGCCTCCTAATCCCTGTTTATAACAGAGTAAACATCTTATCCTTTGAAAGAGCATCTGTCTACTCATGATTTAAAGAGGAATATTGTCTGTCTCCTGAAGTAGGCTCTAGAAAATTGTCTGAATACTTAAAGGGTTTTATATATGAAAGCTAAACTCAGAGCCTTTAAAGTTGGTTCTTTTTAGGACCCCAAGTAAATTACTCAGTGTAGATTCTGTGCAGTAAAAGTTGTCCCCAGGATTAATGGTGACAGTAGAAGAACCTACCTTGCCTGTCTTCACATAGCTTTCTGTCAGCGGCTGTATTTCAGGCATTTGCAGCAGCAGTTCTCAACATGTGAGTCGTGACCCCCTTTACAGGAATCACATAGCAGAGATCCTGCATATCAGTTATTTGCATTACAGTTCATAACACTAGCAAAATTACAGCTATGAAGTAGTAATGGAAATGACTTAGGAAGGTTGATAGCCACTGCTGTAGAGACAACATGTACTGATTCTGTCCTCTCCTTTCTCTGCACTTGGGTGTGGGTGCCTTTGCAAGTAGCCTGTCATGTCCACACCCTAAGACATCACTACCATGACCTTATCCACTTCCTTTATAGATGTGAACCTGAAGCCCCGCTTGCCTTTAAATTCTTAAGGAATATTCTCTTATATCTGTAGGCTGTTTTCATTTATAATGAATAAAATACTGTTTTGAGAGAAAGTTATGCAGTACAATAAAAGGCTTATCTTCAACAGAATTGTCAGATGCCATCATCAATTTCAAGGCATAATTAAAAAAACAATGCATATAGAACATGTAGCAAGTCTGCCATCTTTTCACAAATCTTCAGAAAACTCTGTACGTGAAATTACTGTTTGTGTCTAGTCTTCTAAAACTCAGATTTACTTCTCCCTTCTAGCCTCTGTCTGACAGTTTGTCATCACAAGTACTCACCTAGCATTACTAAATGTAAGGGCTGGGTTAGCACTGCTAAAGGAAGTTCTGTATTTTCATGAATAGTTCTGATTAATACTGTTAGTCTTCACCGTCCACCATATATGAGCAAGTTAGTAAGGTCAAGTCAAGGGAGAAGGCGAAAATTTATCTAATCTTTTTGCACATTTGAAAACTATTTCCTTATATTGTCTTAAAGTGTGCTTACACTCTAAATTTTTACCTAAATGTAAGGTTGTACAATTTATATTTTGGGTATTTGGCAATGGTAATGTTTGTCAGCATAATTGATAGGTCTTCTGTTTGCATCAGCATTTTCAGAAACTGTCTTCTGCTGAAGTGCTTTTTCTATGTCTGTATTACATCCCTGTTAAAACACCCAGAAGAGATTGTGCTGTAAAGATTTGGTTTGTTTGTTGGGAAAAAAGAAATGTCTTACTTTAATTAAGGATATTAAGCAACTAATTTTAATTTTCATATTGAAAGATTAACATGATTAATTTAGATTGCCTTATTGAATTTTGTAATTTATATAAGTCTATAAAACCTGGATCACTAGCATGCTTTGCATCTTGGTAGTTCTGTATTCACTGATGGTCTTTAAGTATTATTTGATATTCATTTGTTTTTAATGTATATTTACAGATAGTTGAGTTGAGTTGAATGGAAATAACTAGGCTTTTAAAAGAATTACCAAGGAATCAGGTGTCCTCAGAGGTTATAATTGAATGAAATGGTTCTCATAGAGGTGTTTGATACTTTTTTAGTTCAGTATTTTTTTGACATGATATAATGTTGGTTTTATTTCTCTAAGGAGACACCAGGATGTATATAGATACACAAACTGGTTAAATCTTAAGAATATTTTTTGAATAGGCTTAAATATTTCATAAAGCAGAAGTACTGATAAATTTGTTGCATCTGATTATAAATTTTCTATTTTAACAGGATACAACATCTATTGAAAAGATGTCAAACTGTTGTGAAGAAATGTAAGTATAAAGTTTATAGTGATCTTATTTAAAAATAGAAACAACTTATCACCTTTAAGAATTGTGTGCATATGTTAATAGTAGGAAACTAATATAATGATGGCTTTTTCTTGGTGCCCCGTCTGATGTCCAAGCTAGACAGGCGTGTCCCAGTCTTACAGTAGGGGTCTTTCAGCCATCAGAGTTTTTAAACAGAGTAAGTACTGATCACTCTTGTTCCCTGTCTCACAGAAGTAAGTTAAATTATTTGTCCTGAAAATACATCAAAAGAGATTTGCTACTGTGTTGTTGACACACATTCTGTTATGCCGAGCTCCTCCTCTGCTTCCAAAGTTACCCCGGGTTGATTGACGACGCAGATACAATGTCTGCTGTCGGGAGCTGAAGCTCAGCTGCGTGCCACATTGAAAGAAAAGCTGTGTTTGTGACGCTGGGACACAATGCATCAGAGTCCAGTAATGGATCCCCAGCCAACCTGTATTGTTTTAGCTGACTGAAGTGCACCATGGGAGTGCTGTCTTTCACTAATAATGCTGTCTTCTGTAGATCGCGGCCCCGAAAGCCATGGCAGCAGACCTTCTCAGAAGTTTTTGGCACTCGTTGGAAGATCCTGTGGTTCATTCCTTTCAGGCAGAGGCAACCACTGCGAGTTCCCTACCACTTTGCCAATCACGTCTAAACAGATGGATGGTGGGCACAGATGGGTCCTCCATGCTGGAAATGCGTTACAGGTTTTATGAGAATAGAACTATGACAGTCTTCAAGTCAATTAAAATCCACCCACCAATCTTAGGCATCATAATGTGCCCCAGGCTTTATTTTAATAGTGATCTTGATCCTGTTGTGGGACTAATACAAGATCTATATTTAAGTTTTAAAAGCATGTTTACTTTCAAATTAGCCTTCCACCAGGACTCCTTTTGTTACCAAACTCAAAAGGCGGTGATTGGGATGAAATAATTGTACATACATTTCTTTCAGTACTCACAGTGTTTTAAAGTTTAATTTATAGGAAATTTGAGATGTTTAATGTCTACCTTTAAGCAGTTACTAACCAAATCTGAATTTAGACTTGATACACTTTGTTATGTGTAAGTTTTCTTTTTCGAATATAAGTTAAAATGCTTTTCGTTCCTCCCTTTCCTATGTGCTGCAGGGTCTTTACTATGCGTGTAAGGGGAACAACAAAGGGCAGTACTTGCCCAGGGGCAGCTTTCCGATGCCTCCTCCTCTCCCGCTCATCCCCAGGGGCAGCTTTCCGATGCCTCCTCCTCTCCCGCTCATCCCCAGGGGCAGCTTTCCGATGCCTCCTCCTCTCCCGCTCATCCCCAGGGGCAGCTTTCCGATGCCTCCTCCTCTCCCGCTCATCCCTAGGGGCAGCTTTCCCATGCCTCCTCCTCTCCCCTCACCAAAAGTGAAGTGAGACACATGAGTGTGATGCACAACACTACCTTAGTAGAACGGGAAAATTATTTTTCCCTTCTGCTGCAGTTATTGACTGCTATTAGAATGTTTGCTCCCAAGAGAAATTTGTGACCAGGAAGGCACACGTTCCTGTTTTACCCTAAGATTCTATTGACTGCAAAGGGTAGGAAGTTGCAATAATTCCAGTTAATTCTTCAAGTGCAGTTATATCAGAATGCAGATGTTTTAAAATGCTAGTATAACTGGATGGTGTGTAATACACAGTATATAAAGGAATGCTGTGTTTTAAAGTATGTATATTTTACTTATCTGCCAGTAGATCTCACTGTACACATTGATGGTTTATATATTATATAATAGATACTGGTCAGCTCATATCAAAGCTTAAAAGTAGCTCATCAACTTTATATACCAGTAATCACTGAGGTTGAAATTGAATTTCCATTGCTCAGTTATAATTTGCATCACTCTAGAGATCTTTTATTAGTAGCTGATGCCAAGAAATTATCTTAAAATAGAATGATCTATGGTAATGATAGTCCTTGACAAACACGGAGCCTTTTTGTATGCAAAGACATTTTGTATGATTTAAGTTTTTCATTTAGAATACTGCAAATCCATATGTTTGAAAAGTGTGTGTGCTAGTGATCTTTCCTCTGAAAATAACATAGAACAAATCTACCATTCGTGAACCACATACATACTTTTCTTACAGGTAGTTGTAAAGTAAGGAATCATAGCTGGGAAATACTGAAACAGAGATTATTATTGTTAGCCAGTCAGCTGTACTGTGGTTAGTTCTTCAGATACTGTAAATGTCTTATAAAATATTCTGAAGTAATAGAATAAGCTCTTTTCAGAAATATTAATACCATAATTTCATGTTCTAATTATGTTTATTTAAAAACTTAGAAGTGGCAGGTGAAAATATTTATTGGTGCTAAGACATATAGTGAGTTTAATATAAGAAACATTTATAAAGATTAGGAAACAAAGTTAGTATGTTTATTTTAGGCAGAGGGGTTGGATTTTGTGCAAGCTGATTGGCTCATGACAGGTTCTAAAAGGAAGTGATACAAGTTGATGCCTTCAGCTGTATCTATTCTGTTCATAAAAGACCTGGAGCATTCATAGCAGACCCAAATGAAGGCCCCATTTGGAGCTTTGTGGACGTGCTTATACTCCAGTAACAGCAGTAGCTCTGACACAAGGTGATGGGTATGGTCTCTTTCCCACACTGGGGATTTGTGGGTATGGTTTTCTTAGATGTACCACTTCTAGGGCACATTCTCTTCCCTTTGTCTTTACTCTCCAGGTCCTAATCCCTCTCCATAGTTTTGTTGAGTCATTGAATTGCAAACTAATGCACTAGTTTGAGCTACAGAATGCTAATATCAGTGTATTTACACAATCTATATTGCAGTATACCTATATATACTTATGCAGTATTGTCAAATGTATATTTCTAACCCCACTAGGGGTTTGTAATCACTGTTAGATTCCTAGAGAAAAACCTGTTGGCCATTTCCTAGGGATGAGCTCCTATGTTCTTTCTGCGCCCTCTTTTGGCTAATTGATGTAATTATACTGGCTGTAGAGGCTTTTACTATCCCATTAGTGGTTTGTATCTCCAATCTGTGAACATGCTAGAGGTACACACTTATGGGAATATATGTATAAAGTGTAAAGTTTTATGAAGATTGATCATGATTTGTTACTGTTGGGGATGTTCTGTCTAGATAAATTGCTTGGCTTCATGTATGTATATTGTACACACTTTACTGTCAATCACAAATTTAGATTAGGATAAGGTATTTCATGTTTTACTTTAAACCTTATTTTGGCAACTTAATTTGTTATCATTATAAAAACTTACTTTAAAATTACTATTTATTACAGAACAAAACATGTATTACAATTGCTGTGGCAACCATGTTATCCAGTGTGTTTTACTGAATATCTAAAAAAAATACATTTAATTTTTTCAATTCAGTTTTGGAATGGTACCACACATACACAGACTCGATTGCCTTAAAATAATTAGTAATTGATTAATAATACTATTTTTCTTTGCTTAAAAAAACCTTCTCAGTCAGAGTTAAACCTATAGACTGAATAGCCACTTCATTTGCCCCTCTGAGTAACCATGGAAATAAGAACATGTGTGGCGTATGAGAAAGCAAATGAACAACAGGATTCCCTATTAGTCTGTGTATTGCATTGGAGTGTTTGTTCATTTAATTTTAGCAGAATGTGTGTTAAATGCTATTTTTACATTAGCAGAATCATTTTTTGGGCTTCCAGAGTTAAAATATTATGGCTAGGCTGCATTTGCACTTAGTAAACAATTAGGGTTGGGTTTGCAAGGTGACCCAGCACATAAAGGTATTTGCTGTGCAAGACTGGTGAACAGAGTTTTGCTTCCAGAACCCACTTGAAGGTGAAGGTGAAGAGAAAGAAGCCTGACTCCACAGAGTTGTGCTCTGACCTCTGCAAACATGCCTTCCACGCATGACCCCCAGCATCATGTATCCCGCTCCCCCCACATACTTAATTGGATGAGCTTCATGTAGGCAACAATGGACTGAGTTCAGAATCTTCTAAACATTGAGTGATCTATTAAGAGTCTTGGTACTTCATACCAGACTTATGTTTCAATTTACTAAGCTATCTAATGTTACAAGAAAATAAAAACACTATTTTGTTTAAAAATAGTATTGGAATATTTTAGTTAACATAGAAGAGCCACTTACATTGTAGCTAACACAGGAACCTCTTGTCTCAGAAGACAGTGTAATAGTAATAAAGTCGGGGCTGGGGTATTTCAATGACAGAGTACACAGAGGTCCTGGCTTCAGAACCAGGGAAAGGAAGGAAAAGCATTCAGACCATAAGCATAGGAAATGCAGACGAAGTGAGGCAAACGTCTCAGAACCAACACCAGAACCCGGCACTAACGTGGAGAGGGCTCCACGCATTCTAACCATTCTTACAGATGTGTTCATTGTAAACACTAGTTACAAAGACTCAAATTAAGAACACACTTCCAAACAGGAGGACAGGAGGTACAAGTGAAGGTAGATGACAGCCACATAGTTTTCTGTGCTGATCCTGGGTAGTTTGAATGTTCTTACCTGTATTGCTAAAAGTCACAGCTTGTCTTACAGAGGCCTAACATGGCATTAATACTCGTTAGCACATGCTAACTTTTGTCTGGACTGTCCTCTGGCTAGTTTTCGTGTATGTCACATGTCAGTAGATAACCTAGCTACAGTTCACTAAACTAATACTTCATTGTGTAAATTTTGACATGACCTCTACTATACATAGACTGTATTGGGAATTTATTACAAACATTATGTAATTTACTAAGAGTTAAAACATTAGACTTTCACCCACCTCTACTAATGCTTTGAAAGTTACAAGTATTGACAAATGTAGTTAGTAAGTCCTATAAACTTAGTGTGTTCTACTTGCTAGTATTATTGACCATGTAATTAACTAATGAGTGAGTATATGATTCAGTATCCACATATGTTATCTTCTGTTGTAGATACCATGCTTGGCATTCATCTACAAATAAAAATCTTAGTAGAATTTATGTTTAGCTGTTCTTAGATTCCACAATATTCTGTAGTAGAACACGGGGAAAGTTTTAGAAGCTGTTTACTTGAAATATTTTATACCAGTATTGTTACTGACTATATGAACCAATATTTAGTACTTGTGCTACCTTTGTGATGGTTTAAATTCAAGAAGTGACCTTTCTCACTTCTTCCATTATCTTTGTGCATTTTTTAAAACAAAATTTATTTTTTAAAAGCCATTTTGTTAAAACCAGTAACATTTTTATTAGTTATTTAGATGTGGAAATATTACTTGCTAGTGATAATTTTGAACAAATTATTACTATTATTACTATTATTATTTGGAGACAGGGTTTCACTGGTTTTCAACTCAGAATCCTTCTACCTTCACCTCCCAAGTCTGGGATTACAGGCATATGCTGCTGTGCTTGGCTCAATGCTTAAAAATCTTAAGTCATTGTTATTACTGATTTGACCATCATATCTTTTATTTTCTCCCCCTTTCTGCCCTAGGGTTTTGGTACCAAGGAGTAGCAAATAGCCAAAAATTGGATAAAGAAAGTAGGGGACATTAGTAAGATGGAGAGAAGGCTAGATGAACATGAATAATCACATCTCTGCAAAGCCTTGATGAGAACTGGGGCTGTGATACCAGAGGCACCTTGCCGGCCCCTGTCCCCCGAGCACCGTTTTACTGTAAGAGTCCTTCACTCTGGGAAGCATTTAGTCTGAATTATTTAACCTCCACTTGGTTGCTCTTTCTCTTCAGCTGGCCAGATGCTCCTGAGAGATTATTTTGAACTTTACCTGAATTGTGTAGGATATGTTAACCTGCATCATTTTTAGCATGCACATGTTAAAAATAACAGGGAAGTGTAGCTGTGTGATACAGAGGAGAAATGATAGGTTGCCCAAAGTTGGAGAAAACTGGAACCTATTTTAGGAGTCTCTTATGACAAAAGAGGAAACCAACAGTTTAGGTATGAAGGGGGCTTACACTTTAAAAACCAGGGTCTTTTGCTGTTCTCGAGACCCTAGAGGTCTTCCTTTCTGTTGGCATTTTTAATTCATTACCTCATGTGTGTATTGGTAGTGCTTCCCACACTTGCTCAACTGTATAATTAACTAATTACACATAGGGCGTACTTTTCTCCTCAATAGCTTTAAATGTAAAGATGTAGTCAGAACAGCCATGACCAGGCACGGCTCCTTTTGTGCTTTGCTTGCTGGGTTCACTCAGTGCAGTGTCTGATCATTTGTAGGCTGTCGGTTAGAGAGAAGACGCGTGTGCAGACTGTGAGCTTTGTGTCCGAGCCAGTGTAGATGGATGGTAGTTTAACCTACTGGTGCCTGTGCAACTTAAACATCCTGGTGCTATTCACCTTAGCTTTGAGTTACATCCTTAATTCTTGAACCAAAGAGTTAATTTTCTTTTTGGTTGGCTGGGAGTTAGCTTCTCACATCTGTATCTGAAGAAGTGAACAATCAGTTGGCAGAACTTACTTTCTGTGAGTGATTGCTCAGCAGAGTAAGTTGAAAATGATTCTTATTTAGACTTAGGTTTTATTCTGTTATGCAGAGTGGTGTGGGTTTTAATTTTGTATGTTACTATATAGGGTGACTACTTTTTGAGATATTTTAATAGGCCAAAGCTACTAAAATTATCAAATCACTTTTCCCCTTCATTTCACTTTGGCAGAGAAAAAAACATTTATTTCTATAAGCAAAGTATTCTATTAGACACTTTTAATGACTCCTCAACCAAATGCTAAAATAAAGGGCAAATGGGTTCATTTTTAATTACAAGTCAAGAATTTAGCATTTCTCTCTGTGTGGGTATAATTCATAATGGCTCTAATGAATGATACAGGTTATTTGCGTATTTTGAAAATAAAATGAAATTAAAGGACACTTTTAAAAAACATATAAATCATACACACACACACACACACACACACAATAACACACACTTTCCCAATGCAAACATATCAACAGAAGTTGAACTTTACAACCAAAGTAGTCTAGATGCTGCTGCTTTGTCTACATGAACTTAGAGTAAGATTGTTTGACGATGTAATGTTTTTAGGACTCATTTTACGTCCCTGGCAGGATGCAGTCCTGTTGTTGGACTTGTCCAGGTGCCATACTGCTGCATATGGGTGCTCCCTGTTCTTTCCCGGAAGCTCTCTAAACACTTGTCAGTGTCTCCTTAAAACTGAAGCTGCTGTGCGATGACTCAGACAGGAAGTGACAGTGCAGGTGGCTGAGAAGGTAGACAGTCACATGAAATGCTTGTGTTTCCATCAGCTTTAGTCTGTGTCTCCGTTAGTACTGACGCAGTGGATGGTTTTGCAGTGAATTCTGAATGGAAAAAAGAATCGAGTCTAAAACTTGAGAGGTGACGATCTCATGAGCATGAAGTATGTCCAGATGAGCATACTTCAGAGAGAGGAATTGGGGACGGGCAGCACTGTGTCTCCTGTGAGTTGTATTGCCACTGGATTGATTCTTAACAATCCCACTGCCTATGCATTGTTCAAAAGGCAGAGTACAGTAATTTTTTCCAAGTTGTAGATAGGAATGAATTCACCACTGCTTTGTCTCTTGGTGTGATTATTAAAGAGCAAAGGAAAAATTAATATATATGGAAAGAAAGCAACTGAAGATTCAAAAGGAAGAAATTCCACCCCAGTCGGGTATTTAGATAAACGGGTTGTAAGCCTGAGGACAGGATAGGCTCTTGGGCAAACAGACTGCATGGACCACGATAGCTGAGCACGCTCTGTGCTCAGGATTAGTCTGGCAAGTGTAATCACCACGCAACACCCCTGTCATTTTGAGACTCCTAAAGTTTGCTGTCAGCCCCAATTCTCACATATTCCTAAATGAAAGACCCTTCTTGGGTTTTAAAACTGGTAGTACTGTAGGTGCCTGGGAAGACCCTGTCTTAAAACATGCCAGTATGCTTTTTGTTCAGTTGTGGTATGTGGAAGTCTGAGGGCCGCGTGCCCGCCTCGTCTGCTGTTTTGCTTTGCCCTTACCCTACGGGTCTGCAGTACCATTTCTAGTGTTAGCGGTAATAAGGAAGAGAGTGCATAGAGAAGGAAGAGCGCTCTGAGGGAGGGAGGGAGGGAGGAAGCCGACAGCTGGGAACTAGGAGATGCATTCATTTGTTTAGATGAGAAGTCTACACTGGTTCTTCTAATGGAAATGAACTTATGTATCTACCTTAAGAACATCATTGCTTTTAATTTATTTTAGTGATTTTGTTTTATTCATGTAATTGTCTATTTTCTTTGCAAATTGCCTTTAATTTAAATTGTGGAATTTTTACTTCTCTTGAAATGTACTATGTACTGTATTTTTAGAAATCTTATTTTTAAATAAATATTTTTGAAAAACATAGTGTTTTTATGCTCTTACCTCATTATTTATTAAAATCTACCCTAATTCTGGATTTTAGAATGACCATGTTTTAAGAATTCTCCCCTCCCCAAACTTTGTGCCATTCGGATGAATAGTTAAAATTAGTGGCCTTAGGCTGTTCTTCTACTACAATCTCAGAAATCATTGCATACTCGGAAAAACCTAGATACACGTGTTGGTCTTGAAATTGTCAGTACTCCTAGGTAGTCCTTATTATTTTCGAGATCAGGTTGCTGCATTCAGCTGCCCTGTGTATTATGCTCAATGCTGTTTGCCCAGAGTGCAGGGCGAAGTGGAGTTGCAGTCTCGGTGCTGCCTTACCCCGAGGTTTGGGGTTCTCCAGAGTGCTTAGGACGTTACCTTATGCAGACTTTAAGGGCTCTTATGGACAAGCCCCAAGTCACTGCGTGCTGTGAAAACAGGCATATTAGTGGGAATGAACAGAGCACAGCGGTCAGGGCCACACAGGTGACCTGTCAGGTCACCCGAGGATAAAAGACTGAATAACTTTTATCCCTTGGAATCCTTTTTTTTTAACGGAAAAGCAATTTTGACAGTGTTAACATGACTTGTAGATGAGGCTTTGAGTCTTAGAGAGCCCAAGACTCGTTGCCTTCTGACAATTTCGGGGGCTATCAAACTTTTACCTGGTCCCGGTCACATTTTTTTTTTCTAATTCTACGTGGCATTTGCTCAGTGGGAATACATTGCAACAATTTTCATGTTTTAACCTCAGACCTCCTTAATAATCGTAAAATACATTACAAACATTGGTATTGGGGGAAGTTTTGAGACAGGGTTTCACTGTGTAGCCCTGGCTGTCCTAGAACTCACAATGTAGACCAGGCTGGCCTTGAACTCACAGAGATCCATCTGCCTCTGCCTTGCAAGTGGGGGCATTAAAGGGGTGAGCCACCACCACCCATGATATTCAGGTTTGTTTATACATGTTTATTGATATTTATTGCACCCTAACTTAAAAGGAAGAGGCTAGGGGAAATGCACCCCAGTAAAGATTGTTTGTTGCTCTTGAAGACGACCCGAATTTGGTTTCTAGCATCCACATCAGGCAACTAATTTTAAGTGAATAACTCCGTCTCTTGGGGATCTGACACCCTTTTCTGCTCTCTGCAGCTACCTGTACACAGTCATGCACATACACAAAACAGACATTCAAAAAATGACACATACAAGAGGGGAAAGTAGATGTGTATATATTTAAACATAAGCTCACAGTGAATTAGCAATTTTAGTTACTAATTCTGTAAAACATAGCTGCCTTCATAGAAGGAAGTTGGTTTCACATTGCTTTCTGATCTAATCAGCTACATTGCTGCTGTGATTGAACTCCCCTCTTGTATGTGTCATTTTTTGAATCACACAAAAGCATATCTTGAAGAGGCTGGTAAAATACTCCTTCCTTTTTCCAACTACATTCTCTGCACAAGACCAAAAACACAAGTGTGTTCCAGGTATGATGGCTGTCATCAAGAATACAAGTGACAACGAGTGCTGGTATGGGTGTGGAAAAGAAGAGTATACACTGTGACTGAGGGTGTCAACTATTGGCAGCCACTTTGGAAATCAGTCTGGAAGTTTCTCAAAAAGCAAGAAATAACACTACCATATGACCCAGCTACAATGTACCAAAAAAACCTCCAGAGATCCCTACATATCAATGACACTGCTGTAGTCCAAATACGTAGGCAAAGGAAACAGCAATAGTCGAGAGTCTACCTTAAATGCCTTTCCCTGATAATGAGATTGATGACTACCTTATGAGCCATCCTAGAGCCGTCGTCCAGTAGCTGATGGAAGCAGAAGCAGACATCCATAGTTAAACACTGAGCTGAACTCCTGGAATCCAGTTGCAGAGAGGGAGGAGTTATGAGCAAAGGGGTCAAGACCAGGCTAATGAAATCCACAGAAACAGCTGACCTGAACAAGAGGGAGCTCATGGACCCCAGACTGATAGCTGGGAAACCAGCATAGGACCCATCCAGACCCCCTGAACGTGGATGTCAGTGAGGAGGCCTTGGCAATCTGTGGGGCCTCTGGCAGTGGATCAGTATTTATTCCTAGCATACGAATGGACTTTGGGAGTCCATTCCACACAGAGGGATACTCTCTCAGCCTAGATACACGGGGGAGGGCCTAGGCCCTGCTCCAAAGGATATGACAGACTTTGAAGATACCCCATGGAAGGTCCCACCCTCCTTGGGGAAGAGAAAGGGGATGGGATAGGGAGTTAATGGGGGGCAGGGGAGGAGGGGAGGGAGAGGGAACTGGGATTAACATGTAAAACAAACTTGATTCTAATTTAAATTTAAAAAATAGAGAAAAAATTAAAAATACAAAAGAGAAATTGAAGCAAGTCACCCTACATGGCTGATGAAACTGCTTCTAGAAACAGTGGGTTACTGAACAAATAATCAGACACCTTTACAGGAGCTGATTAGGAAAGCCCCAAAGGGTCCTAAAAGAATGAAGCCCTTGTGTATTTAAGGCCCACTCCACAGAAGGGAGCCTATGTCTAGTACTGTAAACCCAATCCATGCCTGGGGAAGTCATAAGTCTAAGGAAGAAACTTACCACTGTTGTCTAACTAAATTGACATAGCATCAAACTGCTGTCCAAGCATCTGTTTATACATACAGACGAAAGTGAGCCACATTGAACGCAGCTGCCCAAGATCCTGAGCAAAAGTGACAGTTTAGGGCTAAGATCACTCCAGTAAGGCTCATCACACAAGAGGGGGAAGGAAGCATGTAAGAGCCAAAGTCAGTGTGGAGTGCCATCCTATGGATTCATACAACCGTGTAATCATGAGCTCAGAAGTGGTTACCCGTGCTGCACCACACAAGACTGGCCTTGTCAAGAATCCATCATGGAAGTGGGAGGAGCCACTCTTCAGGGCTGAACTATTTGTTGACTACTGGTAGATTCTGGGGGTAGGGGAATCATTGTCTTCAGATGTGTACCCCATGCTGAGTCTACCCCACTCAAATAGACAGCTCCACACCCCATCACACAGGTGGTTGTGAGAAAGGTTTGTAGGGAAGAGTAAGGATAGACAGGGAGGCAGGAGAGTGGGGGTTGGGAGTGATCAGATGCATTATGTATGTGTGTCAAAGACTAGTCAAAGAATGAATTTCATAAACCCATACGTAATCCATACATAATAGTTTCTTCTAATCATTAAAATCCATTGGTCTTACTCTTTGAAATGTTCATCATATAAAATAAAATGGGTATCACCACTGCTCTGAGAAAACTGAGGACTGTTGGAAGCTGCTGAGCTCCCCGGGGATACAGAATGCTTATGTTAGCTTGGGCAGCCTTCTGGGACCATTGGTTTTTCTCAAAGGAACGGTTAAACTTCACTTGTGTTTGAGTACAAAAAAGGAAGACTCCAGTTATTCAAGCGTTGAGAGTGCTTGGCCAGCTCGGCCTGCAGTTTGCAGTAGCACTAGGACTTTGCTCAAGAGTGAGCAGTCACACTCCCATGTCCCCAGGAGGGAGTGTTTTCTGTGTGTCTCCATCTCATCCGGGGTGAGGATGTACTCTAGGTGGGGACATGATACGGCAGATGGGCTTCACCCCATCATCAAGAGCATTATTAAACGAAACTGGCTCGCTACTTTGTTCAAATCTAATTCTTTTGACCTGTTTGGGAAGGAGAATGCTGGAAGACAATAGAAGAGAAAATATGTATTTGGGTCTTGATTTCATTTTCTCTGTATTTCATTGTGACAGGAAACCTTGGCTGCTGAAAGATAGTCTAGCCTTAGTACTTCAAAGCACAGTGTCCCTTACAAACCCACGTTAGTTAGCCTTATTTAAAGACAGAGGCTGAAGATTCATGCTAGTTCTCTAAGACAGCAGAGTCATCCGGGAAGCTGCTAGACAGTGCAGAGGAACAAATGCGTTCAGATGCTGCTCCAGGCTGACCAATTACCCATAGAGCAGCAATTATATTAGCGTGCAAGGGCAATTGGAGGGAAAATTGGACCCTGTGGACATCCAGCTGAGCAAACAGCGCTGAGGAAGGATAGAGGATATGTGCTTGAAAAAAACTGACATCCAAACTTACTTATAAAAATATTTGTCTCAGTCACAGCACATTCTTTGTGTGGCCTCTCCTGTCTAGTGCTTTTCTAATTAGTCCTTGTCCACAAGTGAACAGTGACTTGTCTTCAAGATCAAATACCCAAGTAGTAACAAATTCTTTGATAAAAATGCCATAACATCCAGGACAGGGAAGTTGGAATATTCACGGCCGGGCATTTAGATGGCTATGCAGGTGACTCCCTAGTCAGTCTAACTGGCTCAACCTGCATAGCTGTTCTCAGCACTGAAATTCATAACACCGTTAAGCTAGATAGGTCCTCTAGAGCTACTGTGATGATTCTGGGCAAACCCAAATATCTGGGGGTAATATGATGTGGAGGCTATCTAAGTCCACTTGGGAACTATAAGAGTGCAGTTCTTTGGTAAGCAGTGATCACCAGGTTCATGGCATGCTCTCTCAACGGGTAAGCTTTTGAGTTGTAGGGCAAATGTGTCGTGCAGTTGAGCAGCTTCATATTTTGTTTCAATCTGGAAACTACCAGCACAGATTTCTTTTTTGGAGGGGTTGTCTACTTGTTACGACTTGGAGTCTGATTTTGTTGATGGGTGTTCAAAGCTATTTCAGATATTCTTTGAAGCTCAGTACTAATCATCTTAATAGTAAAAACCTGGAGTTAGATAGCAGGGTAAAAGCTGAAGATCAGAGAAGGACCAGCCACAGTCACCTCTCACCTCTCCAGCTCCTCAGACTGAAAAGGAGCAGAGATCCTATCTATGCCTCCTCTCTTCCTCTTGTCTCCTGTCTACAGACCTCCAAACCTCTATGGTTAACTAGTGGCTAGCTTGACCCTCTGATCTTCAGGCAAACTTTTTTTTTTTGCCAGAACACAAACAAAATATCACAAT